GCCCTGTGTCTGGTTCTTCCACATTCTATTCCTAGCACCAACATTGTTGGTGTTCAGTAAAAGTGTTGAATTAAGATAAGAATTCATGGATGGGCAGATGGGTGCATAGACGGATGAATGGATGTATTGATGGAGAATGGATGGATTGATGGGTGGATGGATAAATAGATGAATAGATGGATGATATGATGGGTGGATGGATGGATGGACAGATGGATAGATAAATGGATGGATGGATAAATGGATGGATGGATGTTTGGTGAGTAAATGAGTGGATGGATGGATGAATGGATTGATGGATTGATGGGTGGATGGATAAGTGCGTGGGTGGGTGGATGGCTGGATAAATGGATGAATGAATGGATGGATGGTTTGGTGGGTGGATGGGTGGATGGATAGGTGGATAAATGGATGGATGGGTGGATGGATGGATGGATGGGTGGATGGATGGATGCATGAATGGATGGATAGATGTATAGATAAATGGATGGACGGATAAATGGATGGATGGATGGTTTGGTGGGTAGATGGGTGGATGGATAGATAAATGGATGGTTGGGTGAGTGGGTAGATGGGTAATTGGGTGGGTAGATGAGTGGGTGGGTAGATGGACGGATGGATAAATGAATGTTCTACCACATGCAGGACAGAGGGGAATGTAGACTTCTGCTGAGATTCCTAAGATGCACCTTCCAACACAGAAAGGTACAGCCTAGTGGAGGAGGGGAACAGAATTGAAGGAGAGGTCCCTTTCACTATGAGGAAAGCCAGCTAGGCCTTGGTTCAACCTTTTAATCATGGTAGACGCTTTAGTCCATTCCTCTAAAAGCCTATTGATCTGCTCCTCCCTGTTGCCAGTGTCTCCACCTTCTACGAAATGGGGGGTCTTTTTCTTCATTCCGCCCCGTGGAGAAGATAATTTAAAGGGCCACAAAAAGTTATTTGCTTCTTTGAAGCGTCTTCCAACAGTCTAGATCTCACGAATCAGATCCTCCATGCAGATGATGCCCTGTTTTCCAAGAGACTGAGCAATCCGAGCGTTCTCTCTCAAAGCGATTCGCTTCTTTTTGATTTTGCCATGACCACGTTTGTAGGTTAGTTCATTTACTGACTTCAGATCTGGGTGCCCTCATGTAGTCTGTGGCTCTGCGATCCTCAGCGTGTTAACCGAAGCCTTGTTGAGCTTCACAGAGGTTCCACTGAAGAGCTGACGAAGGGGAAGACCCCGCAACACCTTTCGGACCCTCGGGCTCACAGCATCAATACCTCTGGTCCTGATCAAAGACGCCAGTTTGGGTTCTGCAGGTGCACAGAGGTGGCCAGCTTTCCCTGCCATCCTCGCCATTCGAATTTCAGTTCTGTACACCTGCCTGTATTCCCGGTGATGATGCTTCGCTTTTTTTTTTTTTTTTTTTTGAGATGGAGTTTCGCTCTTGTTACCCAGGCTGGAGTGCAATGGCGCGATCTCGGCTCACCGCAACCTCCGCCTCCTGGGTTCAGGCAATTCTCCTGCCTCAGCCTCCTGAGTAGCTGGGATTACAGGCACACGCCACCATGCCCAGCTAATTTTTTGTATTTTTAGTAGAGACGGGGTTTCACCATGTTGACCAGGATGGTCTCGATCTCTTGACCTCGGGATCCACCCGCCTCGGCCTCCCAAAGTGCTGGGATTACAGGCATGAGCCACCGCGCCCGGCCTATCCTTTGCTTTTTCTTAAGGGTTTCGGGCACAGCAGGAACCTTCTTCTTTTTCTCTTCTACACCCTCCACGGTTCTAGCTGGAAAAAGAGGTTTTGTTGTTGTTGTTTTTGTTTTAAAGACAGAATCACTCTCTCACCCGGGCTGGAGTGCTGCAGTAGCACGATCTCAGCTCACTGCAACCTCTGCCTCCCAGATTCAAGCTATGCTTATGCCTCGGCCTCCCAAGTAGCTGGAACTACAGGTGTGAGCCACCATGCCCAGCTAATGTTTTGTATTTTTAGTAGAAATGGGTTTCACCATGTTGCCAGGCTGGTCGCGAACTCCAGAGCTCAGTCAATCCACGCACCTCAGCCTCTCAAAGTGCTAGGATTACAGGTGTGAGCCACCACGCCCAGCCTGGTTCAACCTTTTTATCTCAAGGGTTGAAACCAGCGGGCCTCAGGGGTTCACTTGGGAGAACCAGACCATGTGCATATTTGTCTTGTCTCCTGGAGAATCTCAGCTTTTCAAGGGCTGAACCACGCAGAAGAGAGAAGGGCCTGGAACACGTGGCCCTACAGAGCCAGCCTGTCACCACAGGAAGGTAGGCAGCACTGATATGTGCCCAACTTCCCCGTCGCAACCCTGTCCCCTCTTCAAGGAGGCTGACCAGATCGCTGTGGCCAGAACGGTCCTGCGCACCTTCCTCACCACGGGTGAGCTTTGACGTGTGTTTCCTTTGACCTGGCCTGTCTTTCTGTTAAACATCAGCTCCCGGAGGGCAGGGACCTCACCTGTCCTGCTCATCAGCACAGAGCACAGTGCCCAGCACCCAGCAGATGCTCAGGAAATGCCTGAGTCTTTACTGAGGATAGTGCTGAGGGCCAGGAGGACTGGTCCACACCCACCCCCTCATCCAGGGAGCAGCAGGGCAATCCTAGGCCATAGAAGCACCTGGCAGAGAGACGCTCTGTCCAAAAGCAGCCTCCTTCCCCCAAGGACCCCCTAGCAGAGGAGGGTCCAGGCCGGCACCCTCAGGAGGGGACATGGGGAGAGGCGTAGGACCATGAGGCCCTTGGCAGGGGACAATTGAAAACAAAGTTCTTAGGCCGGCCTCAGTGGCTCACGTCTGTAATCCTAGCACTTTGGGAGGCCAGGGTGGGCAGATTGCCTGAGCTCAGGAGTTCGAGACCAGCCTGGGCAACACGGTGAAACCCCATCTCTACTAAAATACAAAAAATTAGCCAGGCCTGGTGGCAGGTGCCTGTAGTCCCAGCTACTCTGGAGGCTGAGGCAGGAGAATCGACTCAACCCGGGAAGCAGAGATTGCAGTGAGCCGAGATTGCACCACTGCTCTCCAGCCTGGGCGACAGAGTGAGACTCTGTCTCCAAAAAAAATTTCCCTACTGGCAGGGGCAGGGGAGGACACCGGATGTTCAGAAAGTAAAGGCTGTAAGAGCAGGGACCATGCCCCGTTCTCCGCATCAGCCAGAGCCCTGAGCCTTGCTGGGAGGGAGGAGGGAAGGACACACAGAGCAGGGCGCAGCATTGTGAGGTGCGGGAAGAGCTCTTCCACCTGGAATCCGACTCCTCCCAGCTGTAACCCTATGGGTCATTATCTTTTCCCATCGGACAGCTGAGGAAACCAGGGCCCCCAGTGGGAAGGAAACTGACCAAGGTCACCCAGGCTCAGAGGCAGCACAGGAGCTCCTAGCACTGGGCCTCTGGGCACCCCCCCCCATAGCCCACCACTCCCCTGGGGAGTGGGGAGACCCCCAGGGTGGCTGTTAGAGACTCATGTTTGTAGCCCCAGCCCCTGCCCCTTGCCCCGATGCCCTAGATTTGTCTGTTGACATCTAATCATCAGTGTGAGGTGGGGCGTTTGGGAGGTGAGCAGGTCATGAGGGTGGAGCCTCATGATGGCATTAATGCCCCTATAAAAGAGGTCCCATAGGGCCCCCTCGCCTGCCGGAAAGGGGTCACCATATGGGAACACAGTGAGAAGCTGGGTCCTCACCAGACGCTGAATTTGCAGGTCCCTTGATCTTGGCCTTCCGGCCCCTGGAGCCAAAGGAAACAAACACCTGCACCCGTAACCCCCGAGTCCGCAGTCCTGCGCCCGAGCAGCCAGACACACCAGGCCCCCCGGCAAGGGGACTCCACACACCAGGCCAGGACGACCTTCCCATTCACAAGCGCCTCTCGCTTATTTTGAGAGAAACAAATTTCCATACCAAATAAGGCGGTGGACTTCAGAGCCTCTGCCCACTTCACACAATTCCTTTTAAGTGTCCAAACGCAATTACACTTGGAACTTGCCAGGATTCAGCCTCCCCCGGCCTCCCCATGTAAACAAGGGTTCCAGCTGGGCCCCAGCTGGCTGCCCTGGAGAGGAGGGGACAGGTCACCACACTGCCTGCCGCCTGCCAGCCTCTCTCTCAGCCTTGGGCGTGGACCTTGAGCCTCTAGGATCCCAGAGTCCCCTCCCCACCCCATCCCTGAAAAACAGACCCCAGGAGGCCAGCTGGACCACGAGTGGAGCAGTGCAAGGCTCCCTCTTCCACACTAAGGCTTGCACATGGCCAAGACAAGCAGGAGGCGGGCAGCTCCCAGGGCAGGTGCAGGGGCAGCTCCAAGTCTCATTTCCCTCCAGAATGCCCACAGAGGCACAACCCTCCCAGTCGGGGCACCATGCTCCCACAGGAAAAGCTCAGAATTCCCTTGGGCTTCCTGGACCCTGAGAAAGTTGGCCCCAGGCAGGAGGGGAGCCCTCTTGCCACCCCCTCCTCCTGGCCACCCTGCTGGCTCCTGCACTCCCCACTCTGCACCCCCTACCCCTACCATGCCTGCGGGGGCCCCAGGCATGAATGCATCCCAGGACCCCCCACCAGGGGCTCAAGGGGAAGGGGGCCCCGCCTCATCCTCCCTCTGAGCAGCGCGGGCACCCGGTACCGCAGCCCGCCAGTTTCCAGCCCGCTCGCCGAGCGTCGCGATTTTCCACTTGCGCCATCTGATTGCTATTAGGGTTAGGGAAAAGGGAATTCCTGGTTCCATAAGCCCGCAGGGGGCCCAGGCCGAGTCCCGGGGTGGGAAAGGGGGAGGGGTGCCGCCTGGGCAGTGCTGCCCACCTCTCTGCCAATTTGGAGCTGCCCCTCCATTGAGCCCTCGCCCTGATGCCCCCCCCCCCACCGCTCTGTATCAGCCCCTGAGTAAATTAAAACAACCGGGTGGGGACCAGTCCCTCTTGGGCCAGCCTGCCCCGAAATGCCCACTGGGGGCAGACCAAAGGCCCCAGGCAAGTGGACAGCCAGTGCTCCCTCTCCCGGGCAGCCTTGCTGAGCAGCAGAATGCGAGGGAGATGAACAGCTGGACTCGGGCTGCAGTGCTCGGGCCAACATGACGTCATCAGGCAGAGAGAAGAGTTCCCTGTGGGGCTGGTGGGGGGGCTCCCGAGCGGGGCATTCCTTCCTGAAGCCTCATCCCTGCTCAGTCCCTCCTCCTCCCCTCCCCTCCCCCTCCCCCTCCTGCCGGGCCAGGAATTGGGTTTGGGGCGGGTTCTGCTTCCAAAGCCGCCTCTTCCAGCAGGCGAGGGCTCTACTCTGAGCTCGCATTTTCCGAGGCTTGGGCCGTGCTCAGCGCTGGCCTGCTGCCCCTGCAGGGTCGGCCGGCCGCAGGCGGGGGTCACAGGAAGAACCCTCCACAAAGGGAGGCGTCCTCGGATCAGGACAGCTGCAGGTAGTTCTGGGGGCCCGGGGTCCAGGGGAGGGTGTTTCAAGAACCTAGGCTGCAGAGTGAGGGCCAGGCAGAGAAGGAAAATGACGCGGGCACCGTCAGGGCAGAGAGGTGGACGCTGTCCAGGCAAGCAGCTCCCAGAAATCCTAAGGCCTCAGGAAGGGAGCCCTGAGACCCCAGAAAGGCTGTCACCCACCAGAGAAGCTCCTCTGCCACTCCTGAGGCTCCAGGGTTCTGGGGCCATGGGGGAACTTAAAAAGCCCCCCTCCTGTGGCAGGACCTGACCCCCCCCCCACGAGCTGGCCTCACCCCCAGCCCCACTGTCCAGCTCCTGCTCTGGGCTCCTGGGGATGAAGGCTCCCCTCGGTCCCTTCCCCAGCCTCACTGGCCATTCAAGCATGCATTCCCGAGGGGCTGAAAGGGAACACCCAGCAGGCAGTGTCCCACAAGCGGGGAGATGGCTCCCCCTGCTCTCAGCCCTGGGGTGCACACGGGGGTCCGTGTGGGCAGCCACAGGAGGTTGGGCAGCTGTAGTCCCGCCTTCTCCCAGGCCAGCGGCCTGATGAAGCTGTTGGCCTTGGATGGAAGCGGTTCCTGGAACGTTCTGCAAGGTCTCAGTTTCCCTAGACAAGCCTCTTCAATCCAAGCTGTTAAGCACAGACTCCAGGCCTGGAGTGAGGAAACAGAGGCTCTGTGTCTGGGGGAGCGAGGCAGGCCCCTCTGAGGGCAGTGCCTGCTGGCCCAGCCCAAGCATCGGCCAGGGGAGGAGGAGAGGGGCTGGGATGGCCCCAGCTGCACCGGGGCTGGGTCAAGGTGGGGCGGGGGTGAAGGGAGAGGAGGAGCTTCCTTAGGGCGAAGCTGCAGGAGACTGACAGGTAGCCCGGCCACTCTTGGGCGTGCTCCCAGGGGAAGCTCAGGTGTGAGCTGCGCTGGCAGTTTTTTGGGGTCAGCTTCAGTGGAAACTAGTTCTGTCATAGCCCAGATCCCACCCAGAGGGGCACACACAAACACGCACTCATGCACTCACACACACTCGCACACACACACACGCATGCACACACATGCACTCGCACTCACACACTCGCGTGCACACACGCATGCACGCACACATGCACTCATGTACACACACGGACACACACACGCACACATGCATGCAAGCACATGCACTCTCATGCACACACATGCACTCACACACGTACACACCCACTCATGCATGCGCACACGCACACATACTCACCCATACACACGCTCACACACCCACACACGCACACATAACGCCCCCATACACGTGTCACACACATGTCCTTTAATATGGTCCATCTGAGATCCATTGGCTTCTAGATCTTTCTGTGCATGAGTAAAATCGCTTTTCAGGTCGTCCCTGGTAGGACAAGGACGGGCAAACAGGGACACCCACATATGGAGAAAGCAGATGGCAGAGAGGGGAGCTGGAGGCCCCCACTGCATGCCCACCTGCAGCGTGGGGGGGCAGCCCTTGGGACACTAGTTGGTGTAGCTGGGTTCTAGGCTGGTCAGGGTGAATGGGTGAGGCTCCTGTGAGTCAGGACATCCCTGGAAACAAGGCTGGGGTCCCAGACCTAGGGGTGGTGAGTGTCTAGAAGTGTCACCAAATGGAGAGGGCTTGAGGGGGCTCTTCCCAGGGACCAGGAAGGATGAGGGCAGGTGGTAGGTCTGGGGCTGCAGGGCAGGAAAGCTGGGACAGGCCCCAGAGCGTGGAGAAGGTGCAGCCTGTCGGTGGCAACAGGACAGTGGCCCAACTGGAGTCCAAGGAGGGAGACTAAAGACGCACAGTCGCAGCCCCGGCTGTCTGCAAACCCACAACACACACACCACGAACGCACTGGCTCGCTCCGGCACACAGGGTGCTCCCACCCTGGGGCACCCCGCAGGCCCCAGGCCGAGTCACCCACAGGCCAGGCACAGGTGCCCAAAGACGCCCCGTGAAGGCGCAGGGCGGCGCGGTCCGGCTGCGCGGGCCGAGGGGAGCCGGGCCACTGAGTGGGAGGGGTCCTGGGAGAGACCCCTGGGGCTGCACTTGCGCCGCCAGCTCCGGGAGGCCAAGAGTTAAAGAGGGGGCGGGCCACATGCACAGACGGCCACCCCTTCCAGCCAATGGTGGGCGCGGAGGCCAGGGGCACGGCCCGCCCCGGGCGGGAGGAGTGGGCGGCGGGCGGGAGAGCGGCTGGAGGCCCGCGAGGCGCAGAGGAAAGAATTTCCGGGGAGTTGAGTTGAGCGGGCTGCCAAGCTCTCCCCCTTCGGGAGAGGAAGAGCCTGGCAGCCTGTGACCCGGGCTGTACCCGGCAAGGCCCTTGTAGCTCACAGTGTCAGTTTCCCCCCCAGCACAGCAGGGAGTACTAGGTGCTTTCCTGAAGGGGCAGAGCTCAGGTTGGGGGACAGGGGTCAATTCCGGCCATAATGGACCGGCCTCCAGCAGGGTCGCCCCCTCCCCAGGCCTCCCATCGGCCTCCCACCTTAGGGTGAGTGCAGCTTCTCCTCCCCACGCCAGCAGCCGGGGCCTCTCCAGCCGCCTCCATTCCTGGGCAGCTGCTCCAGACACAAATCTGCAGAGCTGCAGGGCGTGGTGTGATTATGGATGTGCCTTTTGGCCGGTGACCTTGCCCTCTAAGCAGACGAGCGCCCCTCAGAGGGGCAGGAAGATACCTGGCTCATAGCTGCTCATGAGGACCAGACGGGGTGATAGGTGTAGGCGGGTTGCGGCCTGAGCGGTGATGACGGTGATGACCCGGCTAGCCTGCCTCCCAGGCACATGTAGGGGAAAGAGCAGGTGCCTCAGCATGTTACAAACACAGGCTCAGCCAGAGCCCTCCTCCTCCAGGGGTCCCCCCTGCCAGAAATGATCCCTCTTCCCCTGCTCCTCCTTCTGGGACCAATTGCTGGGATAACCCCTGTCCCACACCAGGCAGAGCACAAAATAAGTGCCCAAAACATGTGTGTGGGTAAATAAATGCATGTCTGCAACAGCAGCCTGGCTCCAGAACTCTCACAAGCAGAGGGGAAGGAGAAGGCTTCTTTTCCAGTGAGCTGCAGTGGAGCTGAGGAGTCCACAGGCAGGAGGGGGCGGTGCCCCAAACCTCCAGAATCTCACCAGGACAGTCCCACAACACCCCTGCCTGAGGGAATGGGGTGATTGCCTTTCCTCTAACGTGACAGCTGAGAGCCACAGGCCTTGGGGACCTAGGCATGGGGGTCCAGGAGGGGGAGGGGTAGAAAGCCACTCTTCAGGGAGGAGTCCCTGCTGCCCTCATCCACCGTCTCTCTGGGTTTCTGCCAGGTGGGTGTGCAGACTGGTGAGCTGCCAGCAGGGGCCCACACACACCAGGCCTGGAGATGGCTGGAAACTGCTCCTGGGAGGCTCATCCCAGCACCAGGAATAAGGCAAGTGCCACAGACAGAGGGCCCCAGTTCTGCCCAGATGGTTGTGGGTGGGAGGGGCACACCCAGCCCAATGTCTCCTCCCCCATCTCCCCCTTCCTGCACACCCCCCCTCACCAGCTCTGGACCCACAGCAGGCCGTGGGCCACTCTGGGCTATGTGGCTGGGCATGAGTTCCCTGGCCCCTCATATCCTCCCATCCTCATCAGTGAGGCAAGCACCAGGACTGGACCCCCTGAAGGTCCCTCACTGTGCTGACCCTGGGTGGCCTGGTAGCATCCTTGTGAGGTCTCATTTCATCTCTTCCCTGCAGAGGTGGGATGGTCAGCTACTCACCACAGCCAGGCGGGCCAGGGAGCCCTGGGACGCAGGCTCCAAGGTGGCTGTTGGAAACAGATGCTTGGTGCTGCAAAGATAAATCAGCACTGAGACAAAGGATCCTTCAGCAACGCAATTTTTACTTCCTGGACCACAGGAAGGGCACTCTCACTAGCCATCTTGCCACAAGAGTACAAAGATCAAAGGGAAACACACACATTTATTCCTCATGCATTTGGGGTCGTCCTTACTGCTGTGTCTAATCTCCATTGGCTGGGGCCAGACCTCGCAATCTAAACTAAAACTCAATTGGCTAATAACTTAAAACTTTTCTAAACAGGTCAAAGCAATGGAGAGCTGGGACATGCCTGTGAGCACGTCCAGCACAGATATCTTGGTGAAAGTACAAGCACTTTAGAATGTACTACGTGCCTGTAAGCACGGCGTGTCTAACAGCTACATCGGATAGGGCTTCACAAAGTTATTAGCACACTTATGATTTATTCTTTAACAAGAAAGGAAACTTTAAAAAGGAACTTTTCTACTTCCCACGGTGGCCCTGATGTCATGTGCTCCGTGGAGCCTTGTCGGTCCTGGGCCACTCTGAGGGCGTTGCCCAGGGTCCATTAGTCATGAGTCACCCACCCTGAGACTCTACCACCCCCTCCAGGCTGACCCTCCTCCTTCTGCCCTCCGTCTGCCTAATCCCTCACTTCTCTGAGTCCCTTGAAAAGTCTGGGATTTCCTTCTGAATCTCGGGCAAAACGCTCTCAAGTTGGAAGGGTCTCTTGAATTCCTATCCATCCTCTTCCACATTTGAGAAACTGAGGCTTACACCCAGGTAGTAACTTGACTGGGATCAGCCCCTAGGTCAGAAGCAGACTGGAGACTCCTGCCCAACCCCCGGGACCTCGCCCCCATGCCCTTGTGCCCTCTCCCTCATTCCTGTAGTGTGACTGCTGTGACTGCTGTGGAGTGGCAGCCCCAGAAGGCAGAATGGATTGGTGGGTCGGGTGGGACAGTCTGCAGAAACTCCCAGCAAAAAGGCAGAGCTTGGGGTGGGGCCCGGCTCCAGAGCAGGCATTTTACAGAGCGGTATGTGGCTGCTCACAGCAGCTACACGCCCAGTGATTCACGCCGCCTCCCGCTCTGACTCGATGAGGGGATTGCAGACTTTTTCCAGTGTGCACACATGCAGGAGGCACTGAGTAAGCTGGCTGCCTCCATCCAGCCCTGAAGCCCAGCTCTTTCCTGGCGCCTGAGCTGGTCCTCCTGGGCCTGTTTGGGCACCGGATCCTACAGATCACTGGGTCTAGTTCCCCAGCCCAGAGGAGTGTCCAGGTCACCCATAGGAAAGAAAAGCTAAGGAGGGGGATTTGGGGCACACAGACCAGCAGACAGTGCCCCTGCACCGATAAATGAATTTAGAGGATGTCAGGGAGGGAGCAGAGTCCCCTCACGGTGCCAGCCCTGACCCCACAGTCTCCCCAGAGTTTTGCCAACACCTCCAATCCTGTTTTCAGATTCCCCTTGATCTGAGCAGGCCAGGAGGTCCCTCCCCTTGCAGTAGGGTGTCAAGCCCAGAGAACAGTCTCTCAGGACCCAGCTTTCCGCCAGAGCTGGGAGCCATGTGAAGGTGGCAGAATGGATCCTGCCTTCCTAACCTTCTCTTTTGTTAGGGAGCCCTGGAGACAGATACCAGACTTAGGGGGAGAATGCTGGGGCAGATCCCCGATGTGGGGAGGGGAGTGAGCGTTCTCCAGGCAGGCAGCCTTTGCCTCTGAGATGCAAGGTCCCGAGAGGACCTCCTGAGAACTGAAGCCAGCTTGCAGACAGAGGGGTTGTTCGGCCCGCACAGCGTGTGTAAATGTTAACATTTAAAGATGGAGTAGTTCACATTGCAGTCCAGAGTTCAGGCTTCTCCGGGGAGCCGGGGAGGACAATCAGCCACTCCAGCCCAGCCATCCCCTGGCCCCCACGGGCTGGAGCACAGCAAGCTGCCTGCTTGGCTCAAGAGAAAGGCTTTCGGGTTTGCCATTCTCACCCCCTCACCTGTTCCTTGCACCTGGCCCACCTGCTTGCAGTTACACGCAAGCCTTGACCCTGAGGGAAGCCCTGATACTCAGCTGGGATGCACTCTTACAGCTGCACCCGTGGGTGAAGTATTGAAATGCTCCCTGCAGCTTGACAAATAGCTGCTCCCGCCCCGCCCCAGGGACCCCCCCCCGGACTTTCCCACAGTCTGGAAACCCCAGGGGCAGCCCTGGCTCATCAGGGAGCCACCTCCCATCCCACTAGAGTGGACAGGGTCCAGCTCTGGGGAAGGCCTAGGTCCACTCATTTTTTTTTAAATGTAACTTAGAAGTGATTTTACTTCTTCAAATAGTTTCCTGTGTTTTGAAGCATTGCAAGATTTTGCAAGAATAGTACCATGCCCAGCAATACTTCACCTCAGTCAGTCATCCTTAACCCTTCACCATGTGCTTTCTCGCCGTCTCTTGACGGATAGACTTTTTCCCCAGAACTATTTGAAAGTAAATTGCAAAGCCGGGCATGGTGGCTCACACCTGTAATCCCAGCCCTTCTGGAGGCCAAGGTGGGCAGATGACCTGAAGTCAGGAGTTGGAGGCAAGCATGGTGAAGCCCCGTTTCTACTAAAAATGTAAAAATTAGTCGGGCATGGCGGCACGTGCCTATAATCCCAGCTACTCAGGAGCTTGAGGCAGAATTGCTTGAACCTGGGAGGCGGAGGCTGTAGTGAGATGAGATGGAGCCACTGCACTCTAGCCTGGGCAACAAGACCAGACTGTCTCAAAAGCAAAAAAACAAATAAAAGTAGATTGCAGACACCAAGCCCTTGACGCCCATATCGGCTGTATCTTCTAAGAACATGGACGTTCCTGAAGGCGCATCGTGAAAATGTGCACAGCCAGGGTACATTTTCACATTCAAGAGATGTAACAGCGATGCGATACCATTATCTATCCACTGTCCACACCCACATTTCCCCAGTGGTCCCAGAGACAGTGTTTCCGGCAGCTGTTGAGATCCGGGTATAACTCAGGATTCTATCGCAGTGTTTATGTGAGTCCTGTCTCTGGTCTTCTTAGAAATGGAAGGGCTCTGCAGTTTTTCTGCCTTGCATGACTTGGATGCTTTTTGGACAGTCTGACCAGTGGGCAGCCTGGCACCCTTCCTGGGTACTGATGGGTGCTACCCCCACTCCTGTAGGCGCCATTCTGTTCTGCTAGCTCTAGGCTCTGGGGCAGAGAGTTACCATTGGGTGGGGTCAGGGGTGTTTGATTGCAGCCAGTTCGCTGCTCCACAACCAGTGCCCTACAGACCCCCTCCCTGTCCCATGTCCCTCATCGGGACCCCTGTGCTGGGCCCCAGGTGTAGGTCTGCATGTGGGGACCGGCCGGCATCACAGCTGTCCCCCTCTGCACCTGCACAGATGTGCCCTGGCATGAGCGAGGCCCCGGAACTCTACAGCCGGGGCTTCCTGACCATTGAGCAGATTGCGATGCTGCCGCCCCCGGCCGTCATGAACTACATCTTCCTGCTCCTCTGCCTGTGTGGCCTGGTGGGCAACGGGCTGGTCCTCTGGTTTTTCGGCTTCTCCATCAAGAGGAACCCCTTCTCCATCTACTTCCTGCACCTGGCCGGCGCCGACGTGGGATACCTCTTCAGCAAGGCGGTGTTCTCCATCCTGAACACGGGGGGCTTCCTGGGTGCCTTTGCCGAGTACGTCCGCAGCGTGTGCCGGGTCCTGGGGCTCTGCATGTTCCTCACCGGCGTGAGCCTCCTGCCGGCCGTCAGCACAGAGCGCTGCACGTCGGTCATCTTCCCCGCCTGGTACTGGCGCCGGCGGCCCAAGCGCCTGTCAGCCGTGGTGTGCGCCCTGCTGTGGATCCTGTCCCTCCTGGTCACCTGCCTCCATAACTACTTCTGCATGTTCCTGGGCCGCGGGGCCGCCGGCGCGGCCTGCAGGCACATGGACATCTTCCTGGGCATCGTCCTGTTCCTGCTCTGCTGCCCGCTCATGGTGCTGCCCTGCCTGGCCCTCATCCTGCACGTGGAGTGCCGGGCCCGGCGGCGCCAGCGCTCCGCCAAGCTCAACCACGTCATCCTGGCCATGGTGTCTGTCTTCCTGGTGTCCTCCATCTACTTAGGGATCGACTGGTTCCTCTTCTGGGTCTTCCAGATCCCGGCCCCCTTCCCCGAGTACGTCACCGACCTGTGCATCTGCATCAACAGCAGCGCCAAGCCCATCGTCTACTTCTTGGCCGGGAGGGACAAGTCGCAGCGGCTGTGGGAGCCGCTCAGGGTGGTCTTCCAGCGGGCCCTGCGGGACGGCGCTGAGCTGGGGGAGGCCGGGGGCGGCACGCCCAACACGGTCACCATGGAGATGCAGTGCCCCCCGGGGAACGCCTCCTGAGAGCCCAGCACCTGTGGGGGTCGGGGGCAGGGGCAGGAAGCAGCCTCCAGACCCTTCGCCTTGGGACAGGAGTGGGCAGCTCCCTCTGAGTCCACACAGGAGGAAAAAGATCTGTTCTTCTCCTTAGGCCTTCTTCTGCCTGGCCTGGAGGCTCCAGGGGTGGCTGGGAGACTGTGTAGCCCTAGGGACCCCTTGTACAGAAGTTGGCCCCAGATGGTGGGGCCCCTCCTTGTCCCAGGCTGGTCAGTAAAGGAGAGGTGGTCACCCAGCCCAGCCACTCTGCCTCTGGGGTCAGCCCTCCTTGACCGTGTCCCAGCCAGCACCAGGCCAGCAGCCTCATCCCCACCATTTGGGTTGTTCTTGGATTCGATCCTCTCCCGGCCGCCATGGTGAGCAGATCTGAAGGAAATGGCGCTGTCTGGAAGAAGGTTCTGGGTCACGGGCCTTGTAGCCAAGTCTTTCTGCAGACAACTTCCCTGCCCCTCGTCGAATCATTCGGTGACTTTGATGGGGTGATTTCCGGTCATGTCAAGGCACTGGAGACAGGAGAGACCTCTGGCCGCCTTGGGTAGTTGACTGCCTTTTCTGACTCCAGGATGGGCCAGTGCTGGGCTGCCTCCGGGAGCGCTCTGGGTATCCCGCAGGCCATGAAGACCAGCTGGGCAGCTCCTGGACACCTCTTGGCTCCAGCCCCGACGTGTAAGTGGACACTGGCTCCACCCTGGCCACCAGGGGACTGACACTGCAGTGCTCACCTACAAGTGGCCCAACGTAGCCAAAGAAAGTTTTATAAGAGACAATAAAATGTGTATCAATAAATATTTTCTAACTTGCAGCCAGGAAGGCTTCATGCCTGTGGTCCTACCCTGGTCCCTGTTTCCTCCAGTGAGGATGCCCAAGGGTGGGGAGTCCTGGGACTGGCGCCCCCCTCACCACCCGCCCCCAGCTCCCCTGCACACCCTGCTCTTTGCCTCTGCTCTGGGGCCTCTTCCTGGGGCTGTGGCTGCACAGGCTTGTGCTCCAGCTCCTGTGGCTTGTCCATTCCCTGCCAGAGAGAGATGGTCAACCAGTCCTCTGCCAGCATCTGCCAGGGCCCCTTCTCAGCTCAGAGGCCCCCACAGCCTCTGGGAGCCTCAGCTCTTACCTCCTCCATGCCAGGCCTGCGTCAGCCACCAGGGTCCTGCCCGTGTCCACCAGAGGGGAGTGGGTTGCCGCCTCTCCTGCTGTTGCCCCTGTTCAGGACGCCCCTCTCCGTCCTGAGATCCCTGAGCGAGGCCAGCCTCCCAGTGCCCAGACACCTCTCGACAGCCCAGTGATAGGCTGGGAGCCCTCCCCGGTGACAGCCCAACCAGGGCCAGGCTAAGCAAGTTCCTGGCTGGCCCTTCTGCCTCTGGTCAGCCCCCAGAAGAGCCCATTCCTGGGTTCCTGGTGTCCAGCCTAGGACCCCAGCTCCTTTGGGACAAGCCTTATGGCACGCCTACTCACCTGATGGCCCGGTGGAGAGAGATCAGGGCAAAGGCATTGGTGCCCCCAGTCAGGAAACGTGGCTGACAGAGCTGGGACCCTCTGCAGAGCAGAGCCAGGAGTGGGCAGGCAGGCAGTGCTTCAGGCTCCAAGCTCTAGCTGGGAATGGGCAGAGGCGTGGGCAGTACCACCAGGCTCACCCACCCAGCCGCCAGGATCCTGGCCTTCTACTTGCAGACCCTGGAGCCTGCTCGGCCTGCCCCTGGTGACTTGGTCCAGCCCTCAGTGGGCTGCCCCTAAGTGTCTGTCCCTGATGGTCCACCACCCAGGCAGCCTGACTTCCACTGCCCTCCTGCCCATTCAGGCCACTACTCCTCTGTGCTCCCCTTCCTACCAATCCTGGCTGGGTCCTCCCAGCAAGACCATCGTGCTATGAAAAGAGGGGATGGAGCCAGGCGCGGTGGCTCACGCCTATAATCCCTGCACTTTGGGAGGCCAAGGCGGGTGGATCACGAGGTCAAGAGATCGAGACCATCCTGGTCAACAAGGTGAAACCCCGTCTCTACTAAAAATACAAAAATCAGCTGGGCATGGTGGTGCGTGCCTGTAATCCCAGCTACTCAGGAGGCTGAGGCAGGAGAATTGCCTGAACCCAGAAGGCGGAGGTTGCAGTAAGCCGAGATCGCGCCATTGCACTCCAGTCTGGGTAACAACAGCGAAACTCTGTCTCAAAAAAAAAGAAAGAAAAGAGGGGATCTTGTGTGGCCTGGAGGGAGGGGTTCCAGGACCTCTAGGTCATGAAAGTTGCATGTCCCCACCTGTGCCCTCCCCATGCCCAGAACGAACCCTGCCATCCTCTGAGCCCCACCCTCCCCAGGGCTGGTCACAAGTTCCCAGAAGAGCTGGAGACCACCACACCCCACAGCTCATTTCCCGGGACCCAGAGAAGCCAGGTGGGTCCTGAGCAGACATGCCAGGGTCAGGGCTGGGACCCCACCCAGTGGCAAAACTCCCACCAGCATGGGCATCTTGCTTACACAGGATGAGTCACAAGTAAACAGAAGCACATCCCCGTTCTGAAGGCAACCACGGCGGGGGTTGGCATCCGGAGCCCTGGTTCCTCCTCAGGGCCCAGAGCACCCCAGTTCCGGGGAACTCACCTCTTCCTTAGGAGTCCCCACCCCAGGACTGCAGCCCTGAGCTCTCATGTGGAGCTACTGACCTAGGAGGAAGGGGCCTCCCTGTCTGGGTGTGGCTGCAGCGGCTCAGAGCCCAGGGCCAGTGAGGGGCGGGCAGCCTTACCCAGGAGCAGGGCCTGGAGGTCAGGAACAGGCTGGGCCCGACTCTAGGAAGAGGCATCTGTCCTGATGGGTTCTAAGGCAGGAGGGGCAGGGCTGAACCCCAGGAACTGGGCCTTCCCCAACCTCTGGCCCTTCTCAGGCGCAGATCTTCAGTCTTGCCTGGGAGCAGCTTTCTTCCCCTCCATCCCCCCCAAAGCCCCGGGAGGATTCCCGCAGCTCCATGGACCACCTCGTTCTCTGCGCTAATGGAGGGAGACTGCACAGATGATTAGACGGAACTGCCCACTCTCGCCACTTTCCTCCTCCGTCCTTTGGTATTTAATTATTAAAGTGGGCTTGGGAGGAGCCAGGGGCTGCGGGGGAGATTTCCATCCCACAGCTCTGGGAGAAGGATCCCCAGCAGGTCACAGGATGGAGAGGGGGCTGTGGGACCAGCGCTTCTGGGCTGCCCTCATTGTTACAAAGCCGAGTTAGTAACAACCATGTGGTATGTGGTATGTGGGAAGGGTGGGGTGAAGGGGCAGGGGTGGGGGCACCAGGCAGGGCAGAACTCACTGCTTTTCTGTGCTTCTTGCCACCCATTACCTCTATAAAATCAAGCTGTTCTTTTATATTATGCAAGGGCAAGCCTCAGGGAGGTAGAGGGTCGCCACCTATGAGCCATGGGACCTCAGTCCTGCTGTGCCTCAGTTTCCTTGGATAAACCAGCTATATCACCGACTTCTAGGAGTTGGTGTATGGGCTGGGGCGGTGGCCAGTGAGCCTAATTGCCCGGTTGGGCGTCCAGGGCAGGGAGCAGAGTGGCCACTGCAGAAGGAATGTGCCTGTGAGCTGTCTGTCCGCAGCACCGATCCGTTGGTTGGGGACATACTGTGGGCAGTGGGTGCTGGTCAAGAGCTGCAGGCAGGTATCCTGGTGACTGTCCATGCAGGGCTACACGGCCCACGCTGTCAGCCCCAGCTGTGGAAGTGGGGGTCATGCATTCAATGGAGTTTCTTGTCCAAGGTCAGTCGCACTGGTGGACGGCCCTGGCTGGAAGCCCCCATCAGCATCCAGGGACTCCCCACTGTGGCCTTCCTGTTGCCCTGGAGACTCAGGTCTCTGACCTTTTTTTTTTTTTTTTTTTGAGATGGACTCTCACTCTGTCACCCAGGCTGGAGTGCAGTGGTGTAATCTCAGCTCACTGCAACCTCTACCTCACGGGTTCAAGTGATTCTCCTGCCTCCTCCACCCAAATAGCTGGGACTACAGGCACACACTACCACGCCCAGCTAATTTTTGTATTTTTAGTAGAGATGGGGTTTCACCACATTGGCCAGGCCTGGTCGTCTCCCTGTATGCTGAGGGGCTGGACCATACACTGACCGACCCATGTCCCCGCCGCACCTCCTAGCCGCGGCCCTGGTTCCTGTGGAGGAGGGATGGTCCTGGCGGAGGATTCTGAGCCAAGCTGTGCAGATGTGAAAAGATCCTGGGCTTAAACATCCTGGTATAAAGCATAAAACTCAAGTTATCTGAAAACGACAAGGGATTTGGGACAGCTGGGCGGATGCCAGAGAGGCATCCGTTTCTTTTTGTGAAGATGGGAGACGGAGACAGGCGATGAGGCCGTTTTGTGGTGTGTCTGCTGAGCACCTTGTTCCCACTCCCCCACTGTCATTCAGATACCCACACCCTAAAACTGTCAACAGGCTGGCGACAAGGCCGAAAAGCTGGGCAAACACGTTGCAGAGATCTTCCCAAACCCAAACCACTGAGAACTCGAGTGCAAAAATATTCCCTTCAAGCCAGCAGGAGCTCGAAAGTTGAAGAACTTGAAAACAACAGGGCACAGTTCACAGAAAGAAAATTCGCGGGGACTCCGCTGGATGAAGTTTCCTGGCCTGTGAGAGGACGCTCCCCACTCGGGCAGATTCTTTTTAAACGTCTTTTTAATTCATTGAATCGAGGCCTAATTTACATACAGTAAAACTGACCCATTGAATACACAGTTTAATTGTCTTAGACAAATGTGTACGTATGTACCCAGGTCATCACCAAATCAATATACAGAACGTTTCCATCCCCACATAACGAACGTTTCCATCGTCCCCCCAAAGTCCCCTGGCACCACTGGGCAGTCAGTGCAGCCTCAGGCACACCCGTGCCCCCACCTGGGCAGACCACCCACCTCGGCTTTTTTTTTTTTTTTTTTTTTTTGGGATGGAGTTTAACTCTTGTTACCCAGGCTGGAGTGCAATGGCGCGATCTCGGCTCACCGCAACCTCCGCCTCCTGGGTTCAGGCAATTCTCCTGCCTCAGCCTCCTGAGTAGCTGGGATTACAGGCACGCGCCACCGTGCCCAGCTAATTTTTTGTATTTTGAGTAGAGACGGGGTTTCACCATGTTGACCAGGATGGTCTCGATCTCTTGACCTCGTGATCCACCCGCCTCAGCCTCCCAAAGTGCTGGGATTACAGGCGTGAGCCACCGTGCGGCCCCACCTCTGCTTTTATGCCACTATAGATTAGTGTCCCACGCAGACATATACACCGTTATCAGACAGGATTCTGAGTGACAAGTAACAGAACCCCGGGGTAATCTAGCTTTGGTGCGTGGTGTGGGTGGATCTATGTGTATTTAAGGGAATTTACTGACTCACATACCCAGGAACTTCCAGAAGTGATTCTGGCTTCAGACACAGCTGGATCCAGGGCCGCAAGTGATGTTGGCTAGGCCAGCTCCTTTTCACCTGTTTTCATCCCCGCTCTGGTCTGTGTTCCATTTATTCTCAATGGAAAAACTAAACAGCAGGGAAGCAGCAGTTCTCGGCATATCTTCTACAAATTCTGCAATCCCAGCAGAAAGAGAGCACCGCCTTCTTGGGATTCCGGCTGAAGTCCTGATACCTTGCGCACTGGCCACGTCGGGGCAATGCACCCTCTCAGGAGCTGGAGGCAGAGATGGGGGACAGGGGATGATAGCCACCCCACCTAAGCCCAGTGGGCTCAAAACAGGGAAGAGGTGCACCCAAGGTAAAACTGGCAGGCATGGCCGGGCGCGGTGGCTCATGTCTGTAATCCCAGTACTC